CCCCAAAACCCCAAAACCCCAAAACCCCAAAACCCCAGGTTATCCTAACATATTTCAAATGTTAACAAAATATAAAGTTAATGGAAAGGAGTATCTCTGAAAACCCTAGCAAAATTATATTTTCTAAACTATTCATCGATTTTAAATTGTAATTATGCCTCTCTAGAATATCGTTAAGTTTTTCTAAAATATTTAAATATTTAAAAGTTTTAACTTCTTATTATAAATCAACTTTTTACTTGACTGACTCAAGGTGCATGTTTCTCTTGCAATAAATCCTCTTTTAAATAGAATAAGAAGCTTATGTTAGTCATCTCAAGGTTGCTGTTGAAATTTCTAGTAAATTACGAAAGGAAGTAAGAAAATATATGAGTTGAGAAGGTAGGAAACCCTCTAAGAAATGCATACAAAATATTTGGAGATAAGTAATTTTTGATTGTAAATATTTTTACATACTTTTATGCTCTCAATTTCTTAAATAAAATCTCTAAATCTCCGTTTACTTGCACCGACGATACTCCTAGCTCCCAAGCACTTCCTCAACCTCTTCTTCCAACTGTCCCCACCCTAAACCACTCAACCCCGATCTCTTCTCCCAGTCCTCTCCACTACCCTAAAACCCCTCCCAAAACTCACTTGTTCCCAAACTTCCTCCTAAAATTTCTAAAAAATCTCTATCTATCAAATCCTGCTGAGCTTCTTCATTTGTTTGTGTTCATAGTTTTCAAAATCAGTGGATCACGAAGAGAATTTAGGAATGTGGCTGAGAAGAAATGGATTTTATGAGCAGTTTTGGGATTAGGGGGATTTTGAGGAGGTGCAGGAATGGAGGCATGAAGAGGGGGTTGAGTGTAGGATAAATTTAGGGGCTTTGAGAGAAGTGGTTCAGGAAAAGCGAATTATGTTTTTTGTTATTATTAGATGCTAAAGTTATGTTGACAACTTTGGATTGTGATTGGACAGTGTTCTTTATTTTTGATAATGGCTATATTTTGCATAAAATTTTTTCATAAAAACTACATACAATTATTAATAACATGATAACCACAGAAGAAAGCCATTATGAGGATTTAAATGAAAATATGACTCATATTTTGTTAGCAAGATTGTCGAGTAAATGATAAATGGAAGGCTTACTCAGAAGCAATCAAATCCAAAAAGTGGCATCAATAATATTCTGAGCAAAGGAAATCTTAATAAACTTTTTTATTATCTGGTGGCTGGTAAAATATTCTAAATTTTCTTTGTATGATGACATTTCGGATTTCGATTTTAACTTGTAAAGAGACTCTAAAAATTTAGCTTTTATCATATTCTCCCTTTTCAGATGAAAATTAAATAAAATGTAGAAAGCTTATAACTACATTGATTTAATTAAACTTTTTATGAATTTTACAACTCTCTTTGAGATTATAAAGGTGGTTCCATTGTTGAAACAAGGTTTACAGCGTTTCCACGATTACCTAGCAATCTTTTTATTGAAAATTAGCAGAAGAATCACTTTTTTGGGCTGGATTTTGTACTAAAAGATCCAAAATACTTTACTGAGTGTATGGCATATTCATAAAAACTACTCAAAAATATATACACCACATTTAGCCATCACATTAAAAATAAGGCTAAAAACCATCACATCCCAAAATACAAATCCCCTATCTCACATACCACGCCCAAACCCCCGATTCTTCTTCAACCAAAGCCCTCTTCACCCCTAAACCAAATTCCCAATCTCCATACTCACCACTCCAATCCCCCTCCCCCCCCCCCACTTCAAAATCCCCCAAACCCCCAAAAACCAAACAAAATTTTTACAAACTCCAATAACAGTAAACCAGTTTCTTATTTCCTAAAATCCTGACCCAATTTTCATAACAAAATCTATCTCTACTTCTGCTGAGGGATCTGGCGGAGTCATAGAAGGAATTATGTAGAAGTGTGTGAATTTGTGAAGCGCTGGGAGGAAAGTTGACTTATGAAGGGATTTATTGTGAGTGATAAGAATATTTGTTTGGGAAGAGGGATAGGAGGTGTGGTAGTAGTATTGGGTTTTCAGGTGATTTTCAAAAATGAAGCTCTGAATTTCCTGCACTTTTTGTGTAAAAACCCAGAAATTAACTATCCAAAAGAAGAGTATCATTAGAGGAAAGCTTAACTAATGATTTCCAGCTTGCTAACAAAGATAAAAGAGTAAGATAACTCATTCTTATTTGTAAAGAGAGTGAGATACATAATTTGAAATATCGAAAGATTGGTCACATAAAAGCATTCTTTGTTTTGTTAAAACTGAGTTATAACGCTAAATTTTCTTGGATTTGTAATTTATAATCCTCTTTGTTGCAAATCTGGGTGAGAGATTCCTTTATTCAATAAGATTAGGAGTGCAAAGAAACATAAGACTGCTCCAAGAGTCTTTACATGCCGATTTTGTATTGCAATTCTAACCAACAGTAATGCAAAAACTAAACTGTCATGCTCAATAATTAAATTTTCTCTGAAATTAATTTGAGATCTAGATCCATTATTAAATTTTTGCTAAGCTTATTCAAGGAGTAAGAAACAAAGAAGATGGGCAGATAAAATGATGATATGAACACAGCACTGCTTTAATTATTACTAAAACTTAAGTATAAAATACTGAGGCTTTACACATGATATCACCCCTCCTTAATTTTTATTGCCTATTTCCACTAAAAATAAGGTTGAAATTAGTTTTGACCATATACAAGCCTTTAACAAATATTTAGAGATGTTCTGAGGTAATATTAATAACAGAAGGTCAAATTAGGTTGCTTATAATTCCTTTCCTGTCATAAAATAATCACATATTATATGCCAATTAAATTGTACTAAAATTATCCAATAGTACCGATCTAGTTTGGATATTTAGAAAATTATGATGTAAAAAGTAAATATATTAGCAGAATGTGTCTGTTTTGAGATAAGAAAAAATTGTCCAGTTTTATGTAAATGAGACATAAAGTGCTATTAAGATATTTTCTCATGTCATAACGAATAGTGCTTTCTCAGATCTCCACCTTCGACGAGTCAGCAAAATAATGAGCTTATTAATACTAAAGAGATGAAGATAATATGTTTATTAACTTAATTCCTAATAGTCTCTCATAATAATTTTTAATTGTGTGACAAATTTCCAATAATATGAAAATGCCACGATTCAACTGCTAATGATATCAAATTCAAAAATCAATTGTACTAATTCATGCTTCTAAAATAAATAAAAAGAGGGTTTTACTATAAATCTAGTGTAAATGATTCAAATCGGAAAGCCACTCGCCTCAATGTTGACTATAAGTGTCAAAACCTGGATTTAAAATGAGCCTTTTTTACATCTAACCAAACTGTAGTTTATAAAAGGTTTGTTTTTGACTACTATTACGGATTTCTTTGTGAAACACCCAGTCTAACCTTCATTTTTGGGTTATAAATCAACGAGAAGATTTTGAGTAAAGTATTTATGAGGAATTAGGCCTTCATATTATTCAACACCGTCAGCTGCTCAAAAAGGAGTGTTTAAATGAGACCTTCTGGAAGAAGTCTTTACTCTAAATCTAAGACTTGCTCTAGAGACTCAACTATAGTCTCATCAGCCTGTGAAATCATGTATCTACATAAGACTCTAAAACTGCTTGATTGCAATGTCTTCTTCAGCTTCTTGTAAGTGAATGTTCTATTTGTTCCGAGAAAGTCAGATATTTCTCTTTTAATCTTTTGCTTGCAATTGAGGTGGCTTGACTTTTTAAGTCCCAGGATTCCAATTGTGTAATAGACCAAGTCATCTGCAAGAAGATCTTCACTGAGTATGCTGGACAAAGTGAGTTTCATTCTTCCAAATATCTTCATGGCACTACAATTGACATATCTTTTATGTGCGATCATCGGATTCATTGATTTGAACAACTTCTTGATATAGTTTTTAGTAAATCGTAGAGCTTTCTTGATTTTAGCATCAGCTCTTTCCCTCTTTTTGTGAGTTTCTAACTTGTGAGATACTTGAGTGTTTTTATTAAAATTAAAAACACACTGTTGATCTCCTTTTAAGATTTCATTGGCAAGCTCAGTGATAGAATGATCCTTCTTATAAACCTTTGATTTAATTTGTGAATTAGATTGGTTTTCATTACCAGCCTCTTTTAAATAATCTTCATTATTAACACTAGTTAGTTTTGACTTGTCTTCATCAATAGAAATTAATCCTTCTTGAGTCCATTTTTGTAACAGAAGGGAAGAGTTTATTATCCCAAAAGAACTCCAGTCTTGTTCGGCTTCTTTAAGTTCCTATAACACTGGTTAATTATATCTCAAAGTAATTATATTAACAAAACGTCATAGATATGAAATAAATGGCTAAGAACAATTAGGCCATCATTGTGACGAATGAGAGCGAATTACGTCAATGTATTATTATGAATAAATTGGCTTACTTCATCTTTTCCCATATAATATCCGCCTAGGATTGGAAGAGAGGGTGATGAGTGATTGAGGGCAAGGTCTTTGCAAAGGAAGTTTGATAAGGGATTCATGGTTTAGAGGTGTTTTGGGAATTTATATGTAGTCAATCTGTTATTTTTGTGTTGGGGTTTTGGGGTTTTGGGGTTTTGGGGTTTTGGGGTTTTGGGGTTTTGGGG